TAAAATATTTGTTTAAATTATTAGAAAATTCAGTAAAGTTTGCTTTCTCATGATATTGCAATTTTTCTAAAAGTTCACTATTCATTATAGATAAATTGATAACTTTTTGTTTCTCATCTTTATTTTTTGTTTCTAAATCATTATTCTGATTACTTAATTCTTCAACTCGTAATTCAAGTTCATCTATTTTTTGTTTGATATTAGCATTTTCTTTTAATATTTCCTCTTTATCAGCAAGAAGTTGTAAGTTGCATTGCAGATTTTCATGATTATTTTGAATTAATTCAATATTTTTTATCTTTAAGTTTTTGATTTGTTCTTGTAAAACACGATTCTGTTCTTGAATTTCTGTTATGCTTTCTTCCATTTAATATTTTAATTTAAAAGAATTAAATATTTATTTATAGTTTAGAAATTACATATTATTCTTATTAATTTATTTTTAATTAAATTTTGAGATGTTTTGAAAATGAGTAGCATTTTCATGTGAGAATTTTTAATTCTCATATAACATAAGCACGAGGCGTTTGAAATATCGTAAAAATTCTAATTGAACTCACACTGCAAGAAGGAGGAAGAGAGAGGATTTATTAAATTCAGAGGCACTCACTATTTTTTGTCAGTGGCAAACTAGACAAAAAAGAAGTGATTATTACATCGCTGGCCAGCAGACGTTAATATTAATCTATCTAGTTTAATAAACCAGATAGAATTTTAAATATACAATATTTTGTAATTAGAATAACTTAACCAGCAAACGTTGTGATTATTGTCGAAAACGTCAAGCCTGCACCCGATAGCATTCGTCAATAATCATCTACGTTTCTAACGAAAAAGAATAGCCACAAACACCTTGTGGAAAGCTCTGTGGGGTTACATCAACAAGGATAATAAATTATTGAGGGATCATAGTATTTTTTGTGCGTTTGCTATGACGATTCGAGGTGAGACTGGGTCGTAACTATATTAACGATATGGGAACCTCATATCAAAATAAGAACAAACAAAAAACATAGAATATATTTAATCAGTTTTATAAACTGATTAATTTTTATTAGTCTTTATTATTTTAAAAAATAAAGATTTATTTCATATAACGATTTGGGAGGTGATTCAACAACGTTGTATCAAGTGAGGGACCCAAATCATCATATAAAATAAACAAGGTTTAAATGATTAACTTAATTAGCTACAGCACAGTAAGCAATCGGGTTTAGAGACATTACCAGCTTTGCTGGTAACTAACAAAAAGCCTCCACGGCTTTGGAGTGTTAAAGAATAATAAATCTTAACTTAGTAATTTAATAATAATAGATAAACCAATAATAATAGATTCTATTTTATCAAGAAATACTAAAGATTTAATCAATCTAAATTAGAATTGCATATGATTTTTACTAATAATAACTCATCAACTCTTTTCGATGATCCTTTTTCCCAAAAATTTGAAGAAGCGAAAAACAAAAATTTTATTGAGGAAGATGAAAAAGTTTCTTTTACAACACAATGGTTTTTACAAAGGTCAACTGCTTTCTCTCGGGAACTCCTTTGTATATTTAACATGCAAGCTAAAAGCGATATTATA